AGTGTGTGTGCTGTTGTCAGCAGTGTGTGATGCAAAGTGTGTGGTTAGGAGCTTGTGACGGTTTATATGTAGTCTAGACGTGTGTGTGTGTGTGTGTGTGTGTGTGTGTGTGTGTGTGTGTGTGTGTGTGTGTGTGTGTGTGTGTGTGTGTGTGTGTGTGTGTGTGTGTGTGTGTGTGTGTGTGTGTGTGTGTGTGTGTGTGTGTGTGTGTGTGTGTGTGTGTGTGTGTGTGTGTGTGCGCCCTGGTGTTAGCATTGTGTGGCTTTTATGCCTAAAAAATATTCAACAGGGTGATCAAAAGTGACCAATAAGAAGTCTGTTTTGCAGTTTCACTGATTGTTGAATCAGTTTTGGTGTAGATGATTACAAAGATGTACATGTTCTGTAAAGCATCTGTTCTCACTTTCTGTGTTTTTGGTTTTGAGTGAGTAAGTTAGTTTATGTATCATGATTTATTGCAATAATGAAACCTGAGACACACCGCTCACTGGTTTAAAGATTGATGATAATAAAGTTTCCTGTTTTACAGCACAGTGCAGATTACAATGAAAACTGTGGCAGGTTAACCACTTGAAATTATTTTTGAGTTTTAAACAATGTGTCCCTGATCCCAAACAGAAAGTGGGGAAATGGCTACACAGATGTGGCTGTGAACAAAACCTTTTACCCTACAAACATTTGTACTTATGCTATACTTTAATAAGAGTATCTACTATAAAGTTTAATGTAGCATAAGGTCATTCTTTACCGTACAAATAATACACTCAGTAAATAATGCACATAGTTAAGCCTCAGCACTATTTGAGAAAATTGTATTTTAGTTGTTTTGCTCAGGGCATTTAATCCTATTAGGGAGATTATTTGTCCACTAATATCCATGGTATTGTTTACTGTAATGAGATGTCACATATAATGAGTCTTTCTGTAGCGCAGTATGGAGTAAACATCTACTGTATTTGCATCTTTCTGTGTGCAGAATTCAGTACAAATATGTACTTAAATTCCTATGTACAGCCAAAGAAATATGATTTTTATACAGAAGACCTACTGTATAGCTATTAAACTATAGGTTCCAAAACAGTGTGTCAGCTCACCTTTGCCATATCTTTAACGTTTTAGCAACAATTACCATCGTCTTCTTTCTGATTTAAAATATATTTAACATCTCTTGTTAAAAGTTCAGTGCTGGCAGAGAGTTAGTAACTGTTGGACATCAAGTTCAGAGTTCAGTGGCAGTGAGTTATTCTACCCACGCTCATTTCAAATTTCTTGGTTAAATTCCTCCTATAAAAAGGGCCTCCATCCAAGTCACTGTTCATTGTTCATTGTTCAGTTGAGGCGATATTTGAACTCTTTGATATGTTGGTCCAAATCTTACGAAGAGACCTCTTGAGGGTGGATTTGAAAAGGTATTTTGTGCTGCCATCAGGATCCAGCTACTTGCCTCAGTGCCGACAGAGTAAAAGCCTTCATTCTGCGATCAGAGGAGTCTTTCCCCTTTTCCTGCCTCTTTGCCCCGCTCTGTTCTTATTCCAGCTTTACCAACGTCAAACCTTCTACTTTCTCTCCCACAGGCTCAATAAAAGGAGGTTTATTTTTTTTCATTGGTACACCTCCTCACCAAATAACAAATCCCCTTTATAAGCATATGGTATAACTTCCAGTGACTTCAGACACCATTAAATACTGTTAAGCACCATTATGTAAAAAATGAGGTGTGTGTGTGTGTGTGTGTGTGTGTGTGTGTGTGTGTGTGTGTGTGTGTGTGTGTGTGTGTGTGTGTGTGTGTGTGTGTGTGTGTGTGTGTGTGTGTGTGTGTGTGTGTGTGTGTGTGTGTGTGTGGGAGGGAGGGAGGGAGGGGGTTGTTGCAGCTGAAACACACATGTCGAGGACTGCGACTGAACAAGTGTGTGTGTGTGTGTGTGTTGACGACACATCTGAACACCTCTGAAGAAAAAATTGCATCATTTAAAAAATGTGTTCGATTTGAGCACAGTTTAATAATCCGTGTTTTTTATTGAATGGTTTTTAAACAGCATAAATGAAGTAGCTTTTTTACTGGTTGGTTGAACAACTTTTCTCTGGTGATACATTGAGACATCTAAACCACAACTACTGAAACACCAAGCTTCTGTTTCTACCCTCAGTGGAGACTAAGAGTCATACTGAAAAAGATTGAGTTGCATCTGTATGGGCATGATCTCACTTTTTTCTTAAGCACGAGACAGACAAATGGAAACTAAAATCCGACAGATGGGTGATGGCAGCCTTTCATTTGGACCTTTTGGTTTTGATTTACGTAACTGCTACTTTCAAACGGTATAAGGCCTATCCTTTCCGAGTTGTTATTGTGCTATTGAGGTTATTGTGCAGAGTTGGCCGTGTTGGTGCTGTAATGGAATAGAAACACGACCCATGGGAACGCACACACACTTCCACTGTAATGATCACACCGACTCCACCCCATTTATTTTCCCCTCCGCTGGAAACAGCCAAGCTTTATTTCTGGGCGCAGTGAGGCTGCTGGTCCATGAGTGTACATTTGCTCCATTCAAAATGTCATTGTAAAGGTTAACCAAAGACAAATCAACCACTAAATATGTTTGTGTAATAGCTGCATTTGATTGATTGAGTGTTTTCAATTGAGTCAGGTAATAAAGTGGACTGTAAATCACAGAGACTAAGCTGTTTGGCCATTGGTGAACCTCTCATCTCATTCCTCATTAGCAATAGAAAGAATAATTTTCATTATAAATTAATTGATTAATAATTTAAAATATGATAAATGGTTTATTGCCAAGGGTGATAGTTGATGTCTTCAAACTGCCAGTTGATGTATTTAGCCGATAAGATTGTATCATGCATTAATTATATTCCCAACAGCCACTGTGTTTGTATTGTTTAATTCTCTTTTATAAAGCTTATCACATCTTTATATCAAATATTTTAAAAAGCACATTCTTGTTCACTGACCATTTTGTTGTTTTGCTTTTGTTTGCCGCTATCTTACAATTAAATAGTGCATTTGATAACAGGAGTCTAAAAATATGCTTACTTGCTGAACATTTTTGTTTGTCAGATCCTTTCCAAAGTCTGTCAGAAGTGCTGGATTGGCACAGACAGACATTTGGGGGATTTAATGTATTTGCTGTTCCTTTGCAGCTTCATCATGCTCTGCAGCACAGAAGATGAGGCAGACAGTGTGCGTGTCATCTTCGTACTTTAATAAATATATCTCAAATTTGAAAGCTTTGTTACACTCGCTGCCTTTTTTCTTGCCGTTTGCCTCTTTTCTATATTAAATCCTAAATGTGCTTTAGTGTCCCATAGAAGCATGGCTCCTTAGAAACATCACCAGACAAGGTTTTCATCACCCAACTGCAGCAGAATTAATATTTTCAGTCCATTGAATTCAGTTGTATAGCACCTTTAACAAGCGGATTTTCCGCCCTTTAATCTGATTAGACTATGCGGGTTATTCTATGCTGCAATTGGATCAAATCTTCTTTGAAGGTTCATCCAGGACACTCTCACATCACCCCCGTCTCCTGCTCTGTGTTTTGTGTCAGCCTGTCATCTCTCGTCTGCAGGTTGGCGTGAGGCTTGCTACGCACAGTCTCACAGGGGTCTATAGTGCTTCTTCCAAGAATAGTTCACTTTTTGGATTACAAACGCCACCAGCCATATGCCAATTAAACGCGGCTAGTACAGTAGGATATGCCAATTAAACATCCAGGGCATATCAAAGATCCAGAACATTTGGGACAAGGAAAGCATACTGCTTTGTCTCTGCGTCTCTATTTCTGTCTTTCACTGAAACATGTGTCATGTCTTCCTCTCTTTTCTTCTACCCTTATAAACCTAAAAACACGATGAATTTCAAATCAAGCCCCCAGTGATTGAGCTTATTTATGTTTTGCTGACATCAAAATAGGCTTTCTGAGGTACTTGGCATAAGCTGTGATGGTTTTATCAGGAAATGTTGGAGGCTGTGGGGGTTAGATGGCTCAGTGTTTATTAGATGATAACTTTTTTTGCTGCTGACTTTCTGTAGCAACAGAGACGAGGTGTGAATCATCAGTGCAGTTAACAGCATGAATACATTACAGCATGCCTAATATTAAGAAATTAACTTAAGCTAAGTCTGCTTTGAGTATACGCATTTTGACTTTGCTGTTGTTTAAAATTGACAGCAGAGAGCCAACCGGGCCAGTTTACGGGCATTAGAAGGTAATAAATAATGTGATCAAGTGAGTTTTCCTGCTGTCAGTGCAACAAGCACTCATCATTTTATTTGCATACTTTTAAATGACAGAATAACTACATGTGCAAAATGTTATTTTAAAATCTAACTTGTGGACTACCCTAATGCAAACCTAATACAGCTATAAAAGTCTCATAGTCTCAAATAAAGTCATACCGACAATTCCCTAGGGCCTAGGGGAAATGCCTAGGGCCTAGGCATTTCCATGCTACACTTGCATATCTTTAGTTAATGCATCATTTATGCACTGAGATATTGCTGAGAGAACTCTGCCCCATGACTGTCTTTAATACTTGCCAAATGCCTCCAAGGTACCATCATTAAACAGTTTCTCTTTCTGTTGTTTAACTAAACACCCTCACATCCTCCCTTTGACAGACACAAATTCTCTTCAAAGCAGTGAGCCTCGTAACAGCAGTTTGTCTGTTACCTTTGATATAATAAAAGGGGTCGCATAAAAAGATGGCTTTTATAATCACACATTCGGGATACTTGGATTTAAATAAACATCTGCGTTAACACAATTCATATAAAAAGAGACTGCAGTGTTCAGAGCAGTTGAGCAGTACAGCATCCACTTCAATGTAGTGAGAGTATTTTTGCACTGTGAAATTCGTAAGTAAGTAATCTGTGTTAATATTTTGCCAGTTAATGTGATAAAAATGAAGCCCCCATAGCACCTTCTTCACGATGTCTGACTGTATACTGGAAATCTCTTTCTTCCTTTTCTGCCCAGTGAAGTACATGCGTGAGGCCACGCCGTACGTCAAAAAGGGCTCCCCTGTGTCGGAGATCGGCTGGGAAACCCCCCCTCCTGAGTCTCCTCGCCTCGGCAGCCACTCCCTCACCTCCTGCTCCCCCTTCGACCCCCCAAGCTCTCCCACCCAGCCTTCACTGTCCCTGCAGGGCGACAGGAGGTGCATACCACTCAGGATGTGTTGTGTAACCCGAGCCATGACCACACCTGACCCAGAGAACAGGTAGGTGACACACACACACACACACACACACACACACACAGACAGACAGACCATAAAGATGTCTGTATCCTGATTCTTTAGCTGAAGGCAGGTCACTGGAGATGCTGCATTTTTCAAACTCCTGAATATGATCTGCCTGCTTCTGCTTTTAATTCACAGACTAACGACTAGTTAATCGATTAACTCACATAGTTCAGGTCACGTGTAGGTGTAATCGTTTTTAAAGATTTACATCTTCAGGAGGCAGAAATTAGCTTGGGGCGGCACGACATAAACAGGATTATACGTTTTTGCTAAGTATTGACAGGGGGACAAACACAGACTGTTGCTGTTTGTATTGCATTTATGTATAATATTTCAAAAAAGAGAATATTGCTGGTCATGCTTTTTAAAAGAGCAATAGAAAACATTTTTGCTTTAACTTATTATTATGAAGTTTGTTGATTGATCCACGCAATGGGTTTAGAATAATCACACATCTGCTTCTATATTCCCTTTAAGCATTGCTTTACAGGGAAATTCTGTCTGCTAATTCTGGGTCTAAAACGTCCTCTTCCAATAGAAGCCCAAGACTATCACTGCATACTAGAGAGCCTTTGCTAAAGGGCAAATTAATAAAATAGCTCACATTTTAACAAAGCGGCAGACCAACCATAGTAATGTAAATGCTAAAGCCAAAATGATTAATCATATCAGGGGATATCCTTATCAATCTCCTATTTCACATGAAAATCAATAAACAGAAGATATATCATCACTGTCTCTGTTTTGAAACAACCACGTTTTTGGTAAAAAGTGGAATCACCAAATATAAATTAGATTTTGTTTCCATTTTATGTTCACTACAATTATGAACAGGGTGCATTTGATACAGGCTGCTGCAGTGAGAAAAGTCATGTGACATGTCTTGTGTGTGTTGTGGTGAACCCAAACTGCCTAAACTGTCCCAGAGAGTTTGTGTCTATACTGTCACTTGCTATAAAGTTCAACTCTGAAACAACCAGAAGATGACTGTGAATGAACCAAAGGTTAACCAACCCTCCTCTGCTCCTTGACTCTACAGTCTGACAGACAGACAATAGGAAAGTCTTCCTCTGCGTCTTCAGCCCGCTTCTTCTTCAGTTTTTAGACAGACCTTTGAAGTGGCACTCTGATTATTCTCGGTTAGCGGGGGGTGGCCTGTTAGGAGGTGTTGTCTAGTTAATTGGTTTGTAATATGACAATGGCCCAATCAAACAGCATGGGGGCAGAGAGAGATTTAATGTTTAAACATTTTTGGTGTCACAGTGTATGAATGTGTGCTTTCTGTCCCAGATGTCTCTCTTACCGGGTTGTTTCCCTTCCCGTTTGTCTCAACATTGTCTCTCTTTCCTGTTTTATAACTCTTTCTCACTTGTTTGTGTTTTTCTGCCACTTTTGTTGTCTCCCTTTTTGTTCTTTCATGATCCATCTTCTGTGTTCCCAGCTTTTCTGCAATCTATTCTCTCCTTCTACCGCATCTCCATCCTCTTGTCATTACCGTCTTGATTTGTTTTCTGTTTCTCTCTTTGCGGTGCTCAGTGTCTTTTTATCGCTCTGTCATTCCATCAATGTGTGTCCCCTTCTGCATATGTATGATTTGAGAAGTATGAAATAGTTGAACCTCACTAAAGTTCAAAGCTTCAGACAACATCAAAGTCAAGTCATAAACGTGAATAGTGCCTTCAAAGTCCCTCTGTCTGTGAAGACGTTGTTAGACAGCTCTACGCTGCATCTGTTAAATGTAAATGCACACAAACAATCAGTTTATGAAAAAACAAAACAAAAATAAGAACAGAATAAACAGACAAGGCAGATGGTTCTCTGCTGGCTGGCTGTCCAGTATCATACAACTTTTAATTTCCCTCAAAATACAAAAACAAATCATAAGAAAAGGACATTATTCATTATTCTGAAATGCTTGCTTGGAATGTGTCCACTGTTTGTAGAGTGAGTGACAGAGATTGTGTCCATCAGCCATTCTCTGTACATTGCCTGTGGCAGTATGAGACCCATGTCTCTTCAGATGTTAAATTTAGGGTGAAAACTGTTACAAATGTTGACTGAAATGCTCACACTGTGTCGATTACATTACATGTCCCTTTTTAGACGCTTTTATCCAAAGCGACTTACATATTCAATACTGTGGACAATCCCCACAGGAGCAATTTGGGGTGTCTTGCCCAGGGACACAACGACATGCTGACTGCAGTGGGGTTTGAACCTGTTACCCCCTGATCCGAACGCCAGCGCACAACCCACTGCGCCATACATTTCCCACGTAGATCACTTATGAGGAATAACATTTTGTCTTTGAAGCAAAATTAAGTATAATCTAATAGGTTTGTTATTGTCAATTAGATAATACAAATCTGCATGCAACTAGAACTCGGAGGTGATGAGCCTAGCTTAGCATAAAGTCCATATCTGAAAAAATAAGAAAGTGTAACTGTGTTAGTATATTTGAGATATTTATTTACCTGCAGGCCTTACCACAAATTACTTTTAAAGCCATTTAACTGTCTGCAGCTGACGAATATTCAATGTCATAATATTAATAATATAGTAAGAGTTTTGCTAGCCAAAGCAGTCTTTGGTCAGTCTTTTTCAACTGTTGTTCATCTTTAATATTATCATACTTTTTTTTGTTGTGTAAAAATGTGACTGAATCTTTGTGAGATATTACAGATTGTCTTTGGTTTTGAGAGGGCTCTAGTTTTCAAAGTAATCAGGACAGGTTTATGGTAGGCATTAGATAAATAAATGAAATAAATAAGAACAGATTTTCCATTACAGAAAATGAAATGTAATCCTACATTTCAAAATGCCCGGAGCCTGTTTGGTAAGCATTCTGCTCCGATCTTGGTTTAAATATTAGACTTTTCACGAGCACTGTTGGGTTGAACATTCACTATGTTGGCCATAACTGTGACTTTATTGGTCATCCAGTTACACACAGAACTGGGGTCAATAACTCTTCTAGTGTTTTTTACTGTTCACAGATAACAGTGTTTTAGTGGTTTGATAAAGCTGGCCAGGTTTACCTTGACCAGCATGTTTTTTTATGAAGGTCCTTCCTTGTTTTTCACAGCCATGGAACATTCCACTTTGACTGAACCGTAAATATTTAGTGAATGTTTAGATGGGAGAAAACCCCATTTCAACCTAGCCTGTTATCCTTGAAACACATATTTATACTAAAAGTTAAGAGTTGGAAGATTCTTAGTATGTTTATAGATAATGTAAGTCAGATAAAGATTGTCGGGATAGAAGTAAATCGATTCTTTGTTTTTCTTATTTTGGGATTCGAGCTAAAATAGGTGTATTTTTGTGTATTTTTGTTAAGTTTTGCTTATCTTATTATACTAGACTCCCCTTGAGGGTTGCTCTTCTCATTTCAGCATGCTGTTTAAACTTTGTGTAAGCCTGAAAGGACAGGCAGGAGACAAAGATACAATGGAAGGCAGAGCACGTACAGTGATGAAACGAGATGATAAAAGACAAGGAAAATAAAAGTGAAACAGTATGGAGGAGAAAAGATAAGTGAAGATTTGATTGATTCATCTTTTTTACTAGTTTGTAATACTCTGAAGACATCTTCCTCACCTTACTGTAACATTTACATTTTATAGGCAAATAAAGTATGATTTCCTGGGACATTGATTACATACAAAAAAAAAGGATTATACTCCTATCCTTTACAGTTTGGATTACCAATGTTAAGTGAAGGTGTAGAAACAGGGGACAAGAAAAAGAGAGGAGGGTGTGGGCAGGGAAAGGACAGACATTGAGAAAGAACAGAAAAGGCTAAGATGAGCAAAGAAAAGGGAAAGGAAAGCTTGTGTGGCTTTGTAAGAGGGGGACATGAATCATGGCAGAAACAGCACAGTTCCCTGTTTGACAGTTGTCTACAGTACCTTTGTTTAACCTTAAAGGGATGAAAATGTCTTATTCTCATCAAGGTTTGGTGCATACCAGTGCAGGAAAATTGGCCTATACATACAGTTGCAAGAAAAAGTATGTGAACCCTTTGGAACTACCTGGATTTCTGCATAAATTGGTCATAAAATGTGTTCTGATCTTCATCTAAGTCACAACAATAGACAAACACAGTCTGCTTAAGCTAAAACCACACAAACAATTATATGTTTTTATGTTTTTATTGAACACACCATGTAAACATTCACAGTGCAGGGTGGAAAAAGTATGTGAACCCTTGGATTTAATAACTGGTTGACCCTCCTTTGGCAGCAATAACCTCAACAAAACGTTTCCTATAGTTCCATATCAGACCTGCACAATGGTCAGGAGGAATGTTGGACCATTCCTCTTTACAAAACTGTTTCAGTTCAGCAATATTCTTGGGATGTCTGGTGTGAATCGCTCTCTTGAGGTCATGCCACAGCATCTCAATTGGGTTGAGGTCAGGACTCTGACTGGGCCACTCCAGAAGGCGTATTTTACAGATTTACTTCTGTGCTTTGGGTTGTTGTCCTGTTGCACCACCCATCTTCTGTTGAGCTTCAATTGGTGGACAGATGGCCTTAAGTTCTCCAGCAAAATGTCTTGATAAACTTGAGAATTCATTTTTCCGTCGATGATGGCAATCTGTCCAGGCCCTGAGGCAGCAAAGCAGCCCCAAACCATGATGCTCCCTCCACCATACTTCACAGTTGGGATGAGGTTTTGATGTTGGTGTGCTGTGCCTTTTTTTCTCCACACATAGCGTTGTGTGTTCCTTCCAAACAACTCAACTTTGGTTTCATCTGTCCACAGAATATTTTGCCAGTAGTGCTTTGGAACATCCAGTTGCTCTTTTGCAAACTTCAAAACGTGCAGCAATGTTTTTTCTGGACAGCAGTGGCTTCCTCCATTTTATGACCAACTTATGCAGGAATCCAGGTAATTCCAAAGGGTTCACATACTTTTTCTTGCAACTGTACTTTCCTGGTACTACTGATCTCTTAAGTTGTCTCCAGCATTATTGCTCCAAAGCTGATATCCTGTTTGTATTCCATATCTCATCTCAAATGTCCACTGAAGAGGAGGTCAAACTGTTAGCCCTACCCATTTACGACATTTCTTAACATCTCATCTAATTATTTTCATGCTGAAATGGCATTTTATAGCTCAGCTGTTTGGCAAAAATATCTTTAAGACTAAGCGAAAGAATGGAAGTGCAAAATCTGTCAAGGAGAACTATGCAGACGATTCAACAAGTGGCTTAGTCAAACATACAGACCTCCATTCTGAATCAGCAGCAGGGCCGAAGAGCTGCATTAAAAAAAAAGCATTGGATTGGAAAGACTCACTCAAGTTACAGCTAAATGTCCCAAGAGAGTGCTGCCCACTCCTCAAACCACTAAAATAACTGGCCACATAGGATTGTTCCCTTTACTGCAGCTTCACACTCTAATAACCCCACGTCAGAGCTGTAGAGGCAGTCAAAAGCTTACATTCTGATCTGAGAGAACAGATGAAAAATTGCCCTCAAGGACTTTATATTTTAGATATTACTAGACTTAAAAACATCTCTACATGAAACCTACTGTATATGTGCTACAACTATTCCATTGTTAATTATTGTTTTGCCAAAGAAATATGAACTGGATTTATTGTGAATTCAAACCTTTTTTTTAAATTATTTGGGTCATCTGTGACACACATGTATTATCGTGATTAGAATAGGCTTGTATTTTGTATGTTCAGTATTCTAAAATGTGTAACTGCTTTAAATTGGATATTTCGCCATTAAATTATTTATTTAATGCAACTGTTGTGTTCATACAAAGTTCATCAACTAATAATTCAAATAAAATGACTGCATGACTCACATCTGTATGCTAGAAGTGACCTACCAAGCTGAATACATATTTGCTATATATATAATGCTAATCCTGGGAGAACAATTACCCTTTGATCAAGGGAGACGTTGATCTTTTTTCAGGCAGGATTTATATAATAGCTCATCTACTGGTCTGTGTGCTCTTCTCAGTTATTCCCCGTGTTTAAACATTGTGTCATTCACCCAGCAGATGGGTAATTCAGCCCAAAAGCTCCTCTACATTTGAACCATGGCAGATAAAGCTTCTTCTAGGTCTAGCATAACTCACAGGAGTCAATTTGTTGCTAAAACAAACAACTTCCTTAAAGAACCTCCTCTATCAAACGCACATCTGGCCCTGGAGTCTCCCCCCCAACCTCCCCCCTCCGCCCTCTCTCACTCTCACTCTCTAGCCTGTTCTTAATCAACTTTCCTTTTACAGGCACATTTCTATTTTTAACCCCAGAGAAACACCTGGAGCTGCTCTGGGCGGTCTGCCCCACCTCTGAGAGTTTGATGGAAGAGCAGATTCATCACATTCACCGGGGCTTTTCCAGGTCCCCAGAGTGTGCTGTGTGAATAAGAAAAGCTGCTAAAACAGCATGTTTGCAGAGTTGAAACCACCCTGGTTTTGGAGTAGTTTCTATTTTAAACCACCGGGAGCACCTGGACTGTGGAGTGCTGTGAACAGAGAGGCTAGACTGTGAACTCACCGCCAAATCACAGCATGAGCCACACACCTAACAGTCATTTACCAGGTCTTGTTTTCTAACACTATGTACATATTACAAGCAACAAACAACAAAACTACTGAGTTTCAGGCACCTGGAACTGGCAAGAATATGTACTTTCTTAGATTTTTAATACAGGTGTAGAGAGAGAAGGAATCCTGAAATTCATGTTACCGGCTTTCTTTAAAAATTACGAGAAACCTTTTGCGCCGCCCATTACTTCAACACAGCATTAGCGTATGAAGCCCTACTATATTTGTCAAATGTAACTGTGATGTTATTTGCATCCCTTTTCATTTGTCCTTGAATAAGTCCTACTGACAGTTGAGCTTTGCTTCACCATCACTGAGTACATTACATGTCACTTGTTAGACGCTTTTATCCAAAGTGACTTACATACTCAATACTGTGGGCAATCCCAACAGGAGCAATTTGGGTTGAAGTGTCTTGCCCAGGGACACGACGACATGCTGACTGCATTGGGGTTTGAACCTGAACACCAACGCACAACCCACTGCGCCACACGCCTCCAGTATTTTTTACTGATGCTTTTACTCCTGAAGATGAGCAATAACTGTATTGATATTACAATCTTAAGCGCGCCATAATGGCTGAAACATGCACCTTTTTTAAAATTCATAATCATTGACAACACAATCAAAGAGCCATTCAAGAGAACGGGAACCATCCTACAGACGCATTTCTCCCAAGGCCAGAAATACTCCCATATGATTTAAGAAGATTAGCTATGGAAATTTAGTGTGAGACAGCACTGTGTCATATGGCCACAGAGGATGCATAAGCAATGCCTGTTTTCTGTTTTGAATTGACTTGAATAAAATGTAATGCACTTAATTTCATTGTCCTCACCGGATGCCCATTTTCATGTGGATGAGACAAACAAGCATCTGTTGAAGCTGAGAACCAAAAGGATTACATTTGGTTTCTATAACTATGGGTTGAGATTAAATTGAGTCCAATTGGGTCTGCCTGATAAGGCTAGCAATGGATTTTCCGAAATATATGAATTTATTCATTGCAGCATTAAAAGTCTTAGAACCTGTGGTAAGATAACACCGAGGTTAAGGGTGTTTTAACTTTTCTTATTTCTCCCTCCAGACAGCTGGAGCTGCACTCCCCTGACGCCCGGCACACAGTGGTGCTGCGCTGCCCCGACCAACCCTCGGCCCTGAGCTGGTTCTCCGCCATGCACTCTGTCACCTCCACTCTGTCACAGGTCTGTCTCTGATTTCATTGATTTTAAAGGTAATTCTCACCATTAGAATTACATATTTTAATTGGCCTCCTCGGTGCTGCTCTGAATCTAATGCGTCCTGAATGATCGTCCCTCCACAGCGGGCGCTGGCAGAGGTCATCCAGAAAACAGCCAGGACCGGGGTGGCTGGCAGCCGAGAGATACGACACCTGGGCTGGCTGGCAGGGAAGGTGTGTGTGTGTGTGTGTGTGTGTGTGTGTGTGTGTGTGTGTGTGTGTGTGTGTGTGTGTGTGTGTGTGTGTGTGTGTGTGTGTGTGTGTGTGTGGTTGGTTCTGAGGGGAAAGAGAGGGATAGGTGGGCAAGGGGACTCGGCAAAGAAAATATGTGTACCTGCACCTGCAAACCAGACACATTCATTGTTTGGTGAATTCTCCTCTAGCTACACACATCAGTATAGTGATGGTTCTTATGTCTAGAGATGTCCCAGAACAGCATTGTGACATTTAGATCAGTTTTGGAGCATTTGGCAGGGAAATAAGACAAAAAGACAGATAGAAAGAGTTAGTTTGAGAGATGAACGCTGGTCTTTTACAGATCAAACACACACACCATTCCTCTCTCTGACACACCATAAGTCCCAAAGAGCCAGCTCACTGGTAAACAAGCATTGATATTACTGATGAAATACCTTCTTTTGGAGACCTTTCAGCGTTTGTGACAAGGGGTTGTGCTTTATTCAAATATAATTCTGAATAAGCAGCCTTGTATGCTTGAATCAATTAATTTATATTTTTAAGCTCCACAAAGATCCCTTAACATTATGAAAAAAGTACATTGAGAAATATATAAAGGGATATTTAAAAAATAGAGAATTTTGGGCTGCTGCTGAGCACACTCAGTACTCATTATAATTTATTACTTCAGGGTTGGCAATTTGACAAATTATTGAAGAAACTAGTTTTAAATGGCTTTATGTTTATGTAAATGTGTTTCATCTGAATACAGCAGTCTGCCCATGGCCCTGTACTAGATAAGTGGTTATAGAATATCAATAGATGTTTACAAACGTTCCTGTCTCATTGTGTATGTGTTTTTGCTGCAGACGGAAAGCGAGAAGCAGAGCTGGAAGCCGGTGCTGGTGGTGGTGACAGAGAAAGACCTGCTGCTGTACGAGAGCTTACCGCAAGGCAAGGAGGCCTGGCAGAGCCCTGCTCACACCTACCCACTGTTAGCAACACGGTAGGTCCACTACCATGGGTACAGATATCAGAAGAATCAGAGACTTTTGTGATTTAGAAATCAGTACTAAATTAGATATAAATTAAAAAATACACTCTGCCACGATATCAATTTTATTAAAGCCACTTCTTGTGATTTTGTGCTGCTAATTTGAATATTGCAAAGGATTTTAACATGTTTTGCTAATAGGTTAACATCATGTGCTTAATGCTACCAAGTTAGCGTTATTATTGTGATCACGTAAGCATTACAACCGTTACAATATCAACCTCTACCATTTTCTATTTACTTCACCACGACTCCTCAGAATCATCAAAAGCAGCTTTGAACTTCAGCTTCTATCCATCGTCAAATTTGATTTTGTTTATAATGATCAGCATCACAGAGCTGCTGTATGAATGTAGACCTTTAGGCTCTGTCTCAAATCTCTCCATTCACTGATTTCGGTATAATAAACCCTCTAGAGATTTCAGGCTCTTGCCTCACCACGGACAGGTGAAGTGTTGCACAACTGGGATTGTTGTATGTATCAAAGTCAACGTATTGGCTTTTGAGGGTTTTCAAACAACAGTCCCCTGCCATGCTACATGCTCTTTCAGGCTGTACTTAGCCACAGCGGTGCTTTGACTGTAATGAAAATGTGGCAGTGTTGCAGATTGGTTATAGGCCAATTTCACCAAGATAAGCAAAAATATGAATTGGTGCCTGCTTTTTGGTAACAGTTTTGATCACAAGTGCTTTTGAAGCTTTGCAATGAAATGTTTTCTATGTGTGTGTTTCTCCAGTTTGGTCCACTCTGGTCCTGACCGGGGGTCGCCGCACTCTGGCACCGAGTTGTTCTTCGCCACTCGGACTGGCACACGGCTCGGTATCGAGACTCACCTGTTCCGGGCCGAGACCACCAAGGATCTGTCCCTGTGGACCAGACAAATAGTCAACGGATGTCACGCCTCAGCCGAGATGATCAAAGAGGTCACGACAAGTGAGTGGTACTGAATTTAGATGCCATAAAACATGTAGCTCTGGATTGAGATTGAGAGTACGGTAGTATAGGTCAATGCGCTGGATTATGTGATGCATCCTCAGACGTGTGGAGGCACGCTGTAGCAAAATACATGCTAAGAGACTTAAGAGTTTGCAAGGGTATGCACTGCAAGCACCACAAGTTAAGTACAAGAAGTAAATCATATACATTCACCATACGCCCACTTATACGCTGAGAAGGTTTGTGATATAACTTGACAGCCATATGGACGATGTGGAGGGACAAAGCATTTAAAGCTATTTATAGAAAGGAATGCTATTTTAGTGTGCGTGTGGGGGGGAGGTATTTGGCATTTAATTTCTGCCGTCCAGGGAATTCCAACAGAATATACTCTCTCCCCCTCCATCTCCCCCTCTCTCTCCCTCTTATACATAATGTCCTGGGAACTGCACTTCTCCCCTGGGCCCCCCTCCTCTCGTCTTCTGTGATAACACTGTGCCAAATAAAGTTCGACTTCAGAGTACACTCATATATGAAATAGAGAGATTTCAGGAGCAAATCATACACTACATCCCGTTATTATTTACACATCACCAAGCTTTTGCTAAAACTTTCTGGAAGTGTGTCTTCACCCAATTATCCAGGTGTAAATGTTACGCTGTGATTGGCATAGCAAGGCTACATTCATGCCTGGAGAGCTCAATTTGAATTTAACATCCCCAAGATGTTTGAAAATAATCACATTTTCTTTGTCAAGGTAATTTGTGAGGAGATGTGAATGTTAAAAGGACATTTTTTTAATCCAGTGACAAAACACTGTCTAGACTGAAACAACAGGATTAGTATTGACTCACTGTAAGATAAGGCAACAGATGAGGTGGAGGGCCCTGGCCTGCAGACCTGTGGTGCACCCACACTGGTGATTTCACTTATTTTGGATAAGAGCTTCATAGGAGTGAATAGGATTTTGCTTACTGTTTTTAATGAAAATTTTACATTTCCTTTATCATTCTTATTGGTCATTTGTGTCCTGTTACCGCATGCAATTTTCTGGCCTCCCTACAAATTGTGCTGAAATCTAATCAGCTGGGATCCATTAAAGCCCATGCGCCTTAAAAACCTGCCTTAATTGTTTTTTGGGCCACTTAGGTGAGTAGATATAACATTAGCATTAATTAGCCTTAATAATTAGCTTTCATTTTGCTGCTAAATGTTGCACTAGCATTTGCCACTGACAGATGACAGGGACCACTGTGGCTGTGAGGGAGCGGGGTTTTCTATAAATTGGATGGTTTCAATCCCAGCAAGATACTTAAAGCAAAGGTACTCCCGATGGCATTGCCAATTTTGTGTAAGTGTCTGTGAATGTTAGTTTCCCAGAGCAGATTCCCTGAGATCTGTGTGAATGGTTGAATGCTGACTTGTGTATGTAAAAGCACTTTGAGGGCTTGTAAAGACTGGGAAAGTGTCATACAGCGCTATAAAAGCTACAGGTATGTAAGCACCATATGAATGCAGTCTATTCACCATTTACCATGAATGCTTGTTGACATGTTGTGTCACTTCTGGTTACAAAATACCAAGGAGGCCACCGCCAAAAAACAAAGATAGCAACTAAATGCCAAATTCAAGGCCTTAAAACAGGAGTCCATAAGACAATGTGTGACGATGGAATAGTCCTAATGTTTACACTGTTCGCCATCTTAGTTTAGCACACAGAATCTTACTAATTAGCACTAAGTGGTGGCGCAAGAAGTCAGGGGTTCACCAAAATCATAACGATTTATCCTCTGGGGACGATGAATGTCAGTCCAATATTTCAGGGCTTAATTGTGGTTTAGATGCTTCAGTTTGTCCAAAAGTGGCAGACCCACAGTCCAACATCACCATCCATAGAGCCATGGCACTACAAAAGGTGGAAACATTTATTTTCTTTCATTTTGGATTGTAATGAAAATGGTTGTGAATCTTTATTGCTCATCATTGAATTTCTGTCTAAATTGGATCCTATAACTTTTCTGAAACAGATTGATGTTAGCACCAAGCCCTCGGTTTCGTGTTATGGAAGGAGAAAAAGTAATTTACACTTCCCCGAAAGCGAGTGGGATAATGCATACAAAGTGCATTCCCTCATTTTTCAGCAGTTGCCACATGCAGTTGTGGGGCTGACCTTGTAATATTTTCATATGTGTCACGTTCTGATAAATCATTGCGATGGTTTCTTCACTGTCAAGACTTGTGATGAAGATTTTCTCTGAAGAGATTAAAACTCATTCACTTGACGGGCAGCAGGCCGTTCTTAGAGCGACGTTAAGAAGAAGAGAGATTTGTTAGGCTCTCAAGTCCAATTTCACAGACATATGGCCCAGAGTCATTTCTCTTATGTTTATGTCCAAGGTGACTTTTCTTAGGTTATATTGATATTTTTAGCAATTAGCAGGATACGGCATCTGTCTATCATGTTCTGAAGTTAAAACCCTGCTTATGTTTACCGCATTTCTGCTCTTCCTAGTGTCCTCTAACGCTTTACTCACTTCACTGGAGTCTTAATCAACCTATCAAGAATCAATAATCTGTTTTATGCAGTATTTCATGTTGCAGAATATAAATAGATCTGAGGATGGATTTTACCGTCAGTTGTTTTGCAGATTTTACTTGAGCACTTATGTTAATAGTTTGATATTTTGGGCACTTTAATTTGCTTTCTTGCAGAGAGATAGATAAGAGACTTGATACCAATGAAGTCTGTCATATAAAAACAAACCTACAACCAGCTGTCAGTTTCCTTACCTAAAGCTTTCCATTAAGAATGGAAACACAACCCTTCTTTATGACCAGCTTCAGATGTATCTGTTTAGTCAGTGATCCCACTAGTCGCTCTTCTACATCCACAGCCTTCTCATTAATGTTATTGTCAAAGGTGCCAGCTGTAAAATGGTCTTAGGGCTCGACTGGGTCTCCTTAATGAACAGGTAAACAGCTTAATGACTCGAAACACACAAAGCAATTTTACCTCGGTGGTTGTGGAGAATCATCACGGTAACCTGCTGTGACACGAGTTCAGCACAGGAGGAAGCAGTTTTAAAATGTGAAGTATTCCATTTAACAAGTTTCAAACTAATGACAGAGAAAACCGAGTTCTGTCCCCTAATAACCTTTTCAGTGTTTGCACCTGTGGTAACAGAGTTGGTGTCCCTCTCCTCTCTCACTGTCTTCTTTCATTCAGTTCCTCTCTGTGTTGTCACTCTCTGCCCCCC